AAATAAATAAATTTAAAAAAAATAAAAAAAAAAAAGAAAACAATGAGATGGACCGGCCAGATAACGCTGGTTTAGGCAGGCACAGGGACCAGGGTTCAATCCTACATGTGCTGCGCCGGCCCCTCTCCCAGGGCGCTGTGAGACGGCCATTGAGCATGGTGGCACGGTGGCACGCCTGTAATCCCAGCGCTTGGGAGGCTGTTAATCCCCGGTTCTGAAAAAAACAAAACAAAACACAATGGGAGCCAGTTGTGTTGGCTCACTCCTGTAATCCCAGCACTGGGAAGGCTGGTCTCTGTGAGTTCGAGGCCACCCTGGACTAAAGTGAGTTCAATGCCAATTAAAAATAATAAGGGCTGGGGCCGGGGAGATGGCTCAGTGGAATAAGCGCTTCCCTGGCAAGCGCAAGGGCCTGATTTCAATCCCCGGTTCTGCAAAAATAAAAAGTAAGGGCCTCGGATGGAACTCAGCAGCACAATCTCTGCCAAGTGCCAGACTCTAGGCTCAAATTCCAGTACCAAAATAAAGCAACAGGGCTGGAGAGGTAGCTCAAGGGCATAAGCACCTCCCTGCCAAAACAAAACAACAAAAAATGGGAATGCATGAATGTTTGAGCAGTTGAGATGGAAATTGCTATGAAACATTTGAATTAGATGGTGAAGAAATGGCTTTGAAGAAATGATTTTGCCAAGACGGTGGTTTTGATAATAAACAGGGCTGAGAAAGGACAAGAGACAGAAATATTCCATGAATCAAGTGAAGGGCTTGATGGCGCATACCCATGATCCCAACACTCTGGGAGGCTGAGACAGGAGGATCACAAGTTCAAGCCCATCCTAGGCAAGTTAGTATGACTGACCCTGCTGTAAAAACAAGGGAGTGAGGGGTGGTGATGGTGTGCTAAATTCAGTGAAGAGGCTCTGGGTTCAACCCCCAGTACCTAAATAAATATATAGATAAGGCACAGCAAGGCAAAGGTCTGAAACACAGGAGAGACTCCAGTGTTTTCACTGTGAGCCAGGGTCATTCCCACTATTCAGCCTTGTGTCTGAAGTCACAGCCAGAGAAGGCCCTCAGTGGCTAGAGGCACGAGGTCTCCTTTGCACAATTAAGGGCTTCCACTATGTCCGTAGGCTTGCCCTCTCTCACCTTGTAGTGGGGACGTGATGGGCAAGCTGGGCTTCTCCCAGCGCTTGAACTGCCCCCACCCAGCCCCACCAGCTGGGGCTTGAGCAAGTGGCTGGAGGAGGGGGCTGGAGAGGGAGCCCCGGCCTGTCCACTCGCCTGCTCCTCACTAGCTCACAGAGCTGCTCTTTCACTACATTACTTTGCAGCTCTCCGAGCCAGGTACTACTGTAATGGTGAAGAATATGCAACACTGAATAAAGCAAGCTGCCTGCCTGCAGAACTCACTGTCAAGTGGATGGAGCTGGTACATTTGACTCTTTGTTTAAATACCCCTTGTCTCTACCAGAAAGTTGGTTTCAAGAATATGATAGAGACTCAGGGGCATGGGGTTCGATCCCCGGGGCCTGCCTTGCCGGCCCGTCCCTGGGGTGCAATGAAACTGCCATTGAGACTGTGCCTGGTGGTGCGCGCCTGCAATCCCAGCACTTGGAAGGCTGTACACAGGAGAATCACTAGAGTGCAATCTACATAATGAGACCCTGTAGATCCTGTACTGAAAAAAGAATATGATAGAGGTTTTGGTTTGTTTTGGTTTGGTTTGTTTTTTTTCTGGCCAGTTCAGGCTGCTTTGAGGGCGGGGCTGGCGAGGTATGTGGTGCCTGGGACCAAACCATGGTCCCTTGCACCTGCCTAAACTTGCCTAAGCGGGCACTTTGGACTGCTGAGCTACCTTGCCGGCCTTTGTTTCAAGAATGAACATGTACAAAAAAGGGGGGGGGGGCTGGGGAGATGGCTCAGTAGAATCAGCCCTTACCTGGCAAGTGCAAGGGCCTGAGTTCAATCCCTAGTCCCGCCAAAAACAAACAAACAAACAAACAAACGTGTGAGGCCCACTTCAATACCCAGTCCTCATAAAATAAAGAACAAAATTACAGCTAATAAGGGGCCAGGGAGATGGCTCAGTGGAATAAACGCTTCTCTGGCAAGCGCAAGGGCCTGAGTTCAATCCCCGGTTCCGCAAAAACAAAAAATTACAGCTAATAGTCTTTGGGTTTTTTTTTTTGTTGTTGTTGTTTTTTGGTTTTTGGTTTTGTTTGTTTGTTTGTTTGTTTTGTTTTGTTTTTTTCCCAATAGGGATTGCAGCCAGCTATGGTGGTACAGGTCTGCACTGAGCACTGTGGAAGGCTGAGGCAGGAGGACTGCCAAGAGTTCAAGGCCAATCTGCACTATCTACCAAGACCCCATATAAAAAAAAAGAAAAGTTGGATTGAATCCTGAGCCTTTGCACTGAGCTACCCCCACCCCAACCCTTTTAAAATTTTCACTTTTGAGGTAGGGTCTCTTTTAGTCACTCAGCTGCACAATCTGGTCTCAAATTTGTGATCCTCCTGCCTCAGCCTCCCAGAGTTCTGGGCATGCAACACCATACCCAGCTTTAAAAATCTTTGTTGGCTTTATTTTTCATCCTAGAACTGGGCAACATTTTATTCCATAAAAAGAAGAAGCATTTCAATCAGCTGAGCAAAAGAGCTTAGTTTTATAGAGAAAGCCCGAAGAAAGCAGAAACAACACAATCTTCGAGTTAGAAGTTGATCCTGACACTGACATGAAGGCAAGCATTGCTTTTGTTTGAACGTTGCAGCGATGGTAATTGGAGAGGACAGTTCCCCAGATTGTAAGAGTTATCTGAAAATACTGACACAATTTTTAAAAATCAGTAAAGGAATGTATATAATATTGCTCTTGTGTTTTACAGTAAGATTTGTTGCTCTTAGACTGTGTAAAACAAATTTATTCATGTTTTCTGCATATTAAAAAATCTTATTGTACCAATTGGTAAACTATTAAATGCCTATAAAACTAAAAACAGGGGGCATGGCCCTAGCTCAGGCCTTTAAGTGGCTGCTTCCACAAAGCTGTCAGCCTCAGGTTGCTGGAGTTCGAACCTCACAACTCTCCCGCTGGCCAAAAGTGCCCTGAAGCCATTCGAGGAACAAAAAAAAAAAAAAAAAAAAAAATCCTTATTCCATATATAACATTCTGTTTCTCCAGTGCGGCTTCATAGTTGTACAAAGAAGTTATCGTGCTAGCGTGAAGCACATAGAGCACCCTGTACTACATTCACTGTCTGGGGGAAAGCTCCAGAGCACTGGGCTGGACCTTTCTTTTCATTGTTCTCTTCCTCGGCTCCAGATCGGGCTCTGCTGCAAAGCAGGTGCTCAGTAACTATTTTTTCATCAGGTGAGTGAAGAAATCACTGAAGGGATGGGTGGGTGAGGGAGTGAATGAAACACCCCGGAAGGAAAGAAAACAAAAAGACAGTTCAGTAGCCCGACCGACCATGGTGGTGCAGTGCCTGTAATCCCAGCACTTTGGGAGGCTGAGGCAGGAAGATTGCAAATTTAAACCTAGCCTGGGGAACACAGCAGTTTAGCTGAGACCCTGTCAAAATAAAAAGGAGTGGGGTGTATAACCCAGTGCAAAGGCCCTGAGTTCAATATCCAGTAACACACACACCCACACACCACACACACACACAGATGGCCCATGGCCGGGTGGCAGGCAGCACAGTAATGGAGCGCTTACTTAGCACGTAGGGGGTCCGTTCCATCCTTAGCACAGGGTTTGGGGTACTCTAGACTGGACCCCTTGAAGCCTCGGGCGGTCAGGCCTCAGCACTGTCCCTAGGGACCGCCAGAGGGCGTGGACAGGCCGGGTCCTTCGGAGCTTTCCGGGATCCCGCCCCTGGGATGCAGGCTGGGGGTGGGGGGCGCTAGACTGCAGGACCCGCTTGGTCTCTCAGACCCTCCATGCCCGAAGCAGGCCGAGCTGTGCGTTTCCAGCCAGCGCCGTGGCCTGGCTTCAGCGCTACAGGCGGGGAAACTGAGTCTGGACCGCGGGGCTGACCGGCCCTCCCTGCAGAGCGAGCCCCGCCCCGCCCCGCCCGGCCCCGCCCCGCCCCGCCCCGCCCCGCCTAGCCCTCGTTGGAGCCCGGGGCTCTGCGGGGCTCAGTGCGCGGCAGGCGGCTCGGGATGGCAGCGCAGCGGCTGGGCAAGCGCGTGCTGAGTAAGCTGCAGTCCCCGTCGCGAGCCCGCGGGCCGGGGGGCAGCCCCGGGGGGCTGCAGAAGCGACACGCACGCGTCACCGTCAAGTACGACCGGCGGGAGCTTCAGCGGCGGCTGGACGTGGAAAAGTGGATCGACGGGCAACTGGAGGAGCTGTACCGCGGCAGGGTGAGACCCAAGGGCCCCAGGGCTGGATGGGGAGCGCGAGGGGCAGAGGGCGGCCGCAGCTGCACGCTGGTGCACACGCACCCTCTTTTGCTCAAGAGGACAGGCGTGCATCATGCTGGTGGTCTCTGTTCCACAGCACAGCCACATATACACAATCGTGCACGTCCCCGGGAAGGGTTGGGATTACTGTATGGGAGGTGTGGAAGCCCAGCCTCCCTGCATGCATAGAGAAAGGGTGAAAGGGGTGTGTGAAGGCCGTGCACCGTGATGGGGAGAGAGAACAGGGGACACGCAGCAAATGAAACAACAGTATACACAGATGTCCACAGTGACAAGTTACAGCCGCTGACAGCCGCAGCCACACACAAACTCGCAAGGACACAAGCTGCGGGTATGGATAGGTCCACAAATGCTATAGGTACACCAGGCCACCCCAAAGACACAATAGCCCAGGCCACAGCTATAAGCACAACTACACTCAACACAAGATGACTCAAGTTACAGCTGTTCAGCGATGTGCATCAGTACAAGCTGTGGGACACAGACAGGACAAGCTCTGATGGCTCGCCTGGGCCACAGAGAGACTCAGGTTACACGTGACCATCTATATTACCTTCACAAAAAAAGTCCCACCAACCAGCAAACCCCAGATACAAATCAACAGCTGTTACAGCTGCAAGATGCAAAAGCTGGGGGGGGGGGCACACAGTATCAGAAAGGCGGCAACTGCATCAGCCCTCAGCGCACAAGTGCATAAGCCACCGCTATGTACATCTACTCATAGGCCACAGGCAGACAGGGAGGCCTTGTCACTTGGGTCTTTGCTGGAAGTCACACTTGGTAGAACATCTGTGTACCTAGGAACATGGCCAGGTATATGGTGGACACAGCAGTGCACACCCACAGATCCAAGTCTCACAGAGCTGGCGGTATTTTGAAACAGGGTCTTGGTAAGTCGTTCAGTTCCCCATGCTGGGCTCAGACTTGGGATCCTCCTGTCTCAGCCCCTCCTAGAGTGCTGGAATTACAGGTGTGTGCCACCACAGTAACCTTCTAAGCTCAATGATGGTGAGCCCCACAGTGACATAAGGTCCTTTCTGTTCTTGTATAGTTGGGCTCATATATAGTGAACAGGCAAATGTGGCTGATAGAGGTCGGTGCCATCCTCAGTGGGTACCATAGGCAACCCTGTGGGCAGCCACCCAGATACCACGTACCTCTGCCTCACATCTAGCTCTGGACCCCCCTATATGTGTCAGGCTCTGGGCGACATTCACACAGGTGTGTGACGTACAGACACCCTAGCACTTTGCTGGACCCTCCTTGCCACACACAATTCCCCACCTGGGAAAGCAGGACTTTGTGGGGGCCAGGCCTTAGTCACAGGGCTCTCCTGCTGGGACAGCTGGGTCCTGTCCCTGTCTGGGGTGCTGAGCCAGCTGTCTTTTGGGCCACTGCCCCAAGAGGCCAAGCTCTGCACGTCCCTGGTGTCCACACACTCAGGGACAGACCTGTGACTCATCTCGTCCGCCCACCTTGGGGGTCATGGTGGTTATCTCTTCCCAGCCCCAGCTGCCCCCAGCCCTACCCCCTTCCTGTCCCTTGGGGGAAGGGGCCCGCCCGGCAGCCTCCCCTCCCCCACACACCTAGTGCTGAGACTTTTCCTTGAAAGGGCAGAAGCCAGCCCCTCGCCATGATCCCAGAAACTGACATTCCAAGACTGGACCAGGCCTGTTTTCCCTGGTGGGAACTGCGGCCAAGGGGAGAGACCAGTGCCAACCCCAAGGTTCCGGAGGCCCACGGGCCCAGGCATCGGGCTGGTACAGAGCCCCAGGCCTCCATCAACCCATCTGTCACCCCTCCCCCCGGCACCCAGATGTCCCGCCTTGGTGGTGCTGTCCCTGACTGCCACATTATTGCTCCAGAATCTGCCAGCTGGGCTCTGGGGGCTGTGGGGCCCCTCCAAAGCCCTGGACAAAGGCCAGGGATGGAGGGAAAGGACCCTGAGCAGCCCTCTCTCACTGCTGCAGGAGGCAGATATGCCTGATGAGGTCAACATTGATGAGCTTCTGGAGCTAGAGAGTGAAGAGGAGCGAAGCCGGAAGATCCAGGTAGATGAGTGAACACTCCCCCGCCAGTCTTCCACCTTGCATTACCCCCAAAGAGTGGCTGGAGCTCATATGTTTTAAGAGCACATAACTGTACACCGGATGGTGGCTTGATTTCTTTACACTTAGAGACTCTTCCTTTTTGTTTTGTTTTTTGAGTCTTGCTATGTAGTCCAGGCTGGCCTCCAATTCGCTGCCACCCTGTCTCAGCCTCCAGAGTGCTGGGATTACAGGCTTGGGCCATCACGCCTGGCTACACTTAGTAACTATTCCAGTCCCCACAAAACACAATAAAGTAGGCACAGTTATTATCTCTGTTTTCCAGACAAGGAAAATGAGGTCCAGAGAGGCTGAATCAACTGCCAAGGGTCACACAGCTCAGTCAGAGCAGAGCTGCGATGCAAACCCAAGCGGTCTGGCTGCTGAGCCCCTTCCCTATGGTCTCTGCCCATCCAGGGGTCCACATGTGACTTACTCACGCAGGGACCTGGTAGCTCAATCCCCCCAAGTTTGCTATGTGAGGTCTGCGGTCTGTGTCCTTGCTTGAAGTCCGTAGGGGTCCATCTCCCATTTAGCTTATGGCCTTTGGTGTTTGTTGGGAAAGCAGAGAACAGGGGTGGTGACACACCCAGCAGTCCTGAGAGGCTGAGGCAGGAAAATGCCAAGTTCCAGCTCAAGAGTGGGCAATTTAGAGATTCAGTGAAACCTTGTGTCAAAATAAAAGTAAAAAGGGCTGTGCAAAGGCCCTGGACTCACGCAGTATTCCCCAGGCCTGCAATAAGGAAGGAGGGAGGAAAGAGAGGGAAGGAAGGAGGGGTGGGTGGAAGGGTCTAAATATTAATCATTTACTGTTTCCCTGGGGGATTCAGGGCCTCCTGATGTCTTGCACGAACCCCACAGAGGTGAGTATCTGCGCCTGTATGGAGGGGGAGGCTGGCCCTGGCTGGAACAACTCTTCTTTCCCCCCATTGAGGTCCTTTGTCTTCCTCCTCCTCCTCCTCTCCTCCTCCTCCTCCTCCTCTTTCGCCTGCCCCCTTTTTCCTCCTCCTCCTCTCTCCCCATCTGCTGCAGGGGCTGCATGATGAGCTTGCATCAGCAGCTTCCCCATCTGCTCCTGTGTCTGCCTTTCCCACTGCCCTGTGGCCCCCCTTTCCCTCTGCCCCCTCCCCTCCAATCCCTCCCTCCACTGCTGGGCTCTCTGCCCCACCTCTTGGGGGGCCCCATCCTCCAGCCCTGAAGCTCTGCCACCCAACCCCTCCCACTTCCTTCCCTGCTTTAAAAGGGAAAAATATTCATGTTTCTCCAACCAGCTCTGGGCTGCAAGGGACAAGCGTCACTGTGTGTCAGTTTGCCCTGGAGCTGTCTCAGGCCTGTGTCTCTGGGGAACCACCCGATCACCTCCCTGTGCCGCTGTATCTCTCATCCCTGTGTGTCTGTCTGTGTCTGTCTGTCTGTGGTTTCTTTCTCTCTCTTAGTGTTTTTGAGACACGGTTTCCCTGTCTAGTGCAGGCTGGTCTTGCAGTCACTATGTAGCTCCGCTAGCCTCAAACCCTAGAGGATATTCCTGCCTCAGCTTCTCAAAGTGCGGAGAATACAGGCGTGTATCACCATACCCAGCACCCACCACTCTCTACCTCTTGTTCCACTTTGCTCTCTCTCCCCCAAATCCCTCCCTAACTCCACATCCCTCCCATGATCCCAAACCGGCAAGAAGAGAGGCCAGAGGAACTGGGGGACCCCCTCCCCGTGTTCTCAGCACCCATCCTGTCCTCAGGACTTCATCCAGGAGCTACTGGCCAAGTTGCGAGGCCTCCACAAGCAGCCAGGCCTCCACCAGCCCAGCCCCTCCGACGACGGCAGCCCGAGCCCCCGATAGGACCACTGTGGCCTCTGTGACCCTCGGCTTTCCCCAGCCCCCGGCTTATGTATGTGTTGTATTTAATGGTCTATAACAGTGACCCATGTGCCTGGTTTTCCTTCCCCAAACCCCCAGCCTCCCTCTCCCGAATCTCTGACAGACTCCCTCCTCCTACAGCAAAAGCGTGAGAACCACCAGCTGACCCAGCAGTGGCCACCTGGGGATGGGACTCACATCCTGTCCTCCTCCCCCACCTGGGCCCAGGCCAGCGGGGCCCCTCTGTGCAGCAGGCAGGGGCATGACCTGAGCCCGGACTCTGTGCCAGGGGCAATGCAAACCACCCAGTGTGGCCCAGGTCGCCACAACACCACACTAGTGGTCACACGGTGAATGTGGTTATCAGGCTGCTGTGTGTCCTTGGGGTGGCTGTTGGAATTGAGACCATAAACTGGGGAACACAAAGTAGCATCATGGAGCCTGTACCCTGGCAGAGAGAAGGGGCCGCCTGGAGGACTTGGCCAGGTGGGCTGGGTGGCACAGGTGGCTGGGCCTTGGGAGGCGCCGGGAGCCTTTCCCTGGTGTGGTGAAGAAATCCAGAGGGCTCCCTGAGGAAAGCCAAGTAAAGTGGGGCTCTGGAAGGAAGATGCTTTGGGATTTGGGTTGAATGGGTGCCGTTCATATCTGGGAATTCAGAACTTGGGCATTGGCCTAGGTCTGAGTCAGGGAAAATATCAGATATTGGCAGGAGCTTCCTGAAAGTAGGATGGGCATGAACAGCATCCCCTGGAGCTGGGACAGGGAGGTCACACACTCAGCAGGGGTTAAAAGAGCCTTCCTTGCTGGGGCCTGTAGGGGGGCTGGCTCAGAAGTAGACAGTGGTCCTTTAACACATTTTAACAGCGGGTCTTCGGGACCAGGGTCCCCAGATGCTCAGGCAAAGAGGGCAGCGGGCTGTCCCATCTGCCTATGGCGGAACCTCCAGCTCCCCACCAGGATCAGTGACCCAGGTAGCCTAGCCGGCAAGTGGCCTTGTCCCTGTGCAGAGTGAGTCATCTGCTGCCTCCTGCCACCTGGGGACCATGTCCCAAAGCCCCAACTTGGGCCAGAAAACACTACTTCCCCCTCCTTGAACCTGGTTTTGGTTCCTCCTGCTCCTCTTTCTCATCACTGTGAGGGTGGCTGTGTGCTCCAGCCCAGGTCCTGAAGTCCTAAGTGTACAGGGCTTTGGGCCTCTGGAAAACAGGAACTTTATAGATGAGGAAACTGAGGTTCAGTTTAGTGATGTCCCTGTCCTAAGACACAGCTGGGAAAGGGCGGTTCTGGGCTTCAATCCCAGATGTCATGACTCCAGAGGCCAAATATTTAACTCCTACAAGCTGGAAGTCCATAAGGGCCAAAGCTGTGCTTATTTTTAGTGGTGTGAGCAGATTGGCTAATTCATACTGAGGTGTTAGTGACTGCTCACAGCCCTTGAAGATATCCTGTTTGTAAAGGAATAAAATGACCAAGCAAGGCTAGAGCAAAAGGACTGGGAAGGAGCAGAGCATAACGGTTAAGAGCATAGCTGGCCAGCACTTGGGAGGCTGAGGCAAGAGGATTGCCATGAGTCTAAAGCCATCTTGAACTATATAGGGAGACCCTGTCTCAAAAAACAAACAAACAACACAGCCTCTGGTATTTCTGTCTAGATTCAGATTATTCCTTCCTAGCTGTGTGATCGTAAGTGACTTACTTGCCACAGTGTCTCAGTGTACGCATTTGTCAGAGGAAGACGATTGGAACTGTCCCTGCCTCCTGGAGGGCTGAGGTTAAAGTCACATGGCACAGACCAGGACCAGGCAGGTATCAGCCTTATCTCTGCTAGGAAGGGTCAGTTCTCCTCCTGCGCCACGGCCTACAAGATGTCCCTTTGCAGGCCCTGATGTGGAAAGGGCCCAAGAGGACATGCTGGCCCTCCCACGTCCTGTGGTCTGTGACCCACACCAGAGCCGAATGACGCTCATCACACTCCCACCGGCTCCATCCGCATCCTTCCCTGTTCCTCTTCCCCTAGAGGTCAGGGTTGTTAAGCACTTGGCATGGTTCCAGTGCCTGCGAGTGGAGGGAGCAAGAATCGATGACCTATCTATCCCCTTTCCGTGCCGCACGGCTGAGTTTACACACCCCTCGCCCCCCACCCCAGCTCCCCAGTACTGGGAACTGAACCCAGAGCCTCACACTGAGCTATATCTCCAGCTCCTTTAAAATTTTTGGGGGCCAGGGAGATGGCTCAGTGGACTAAGCGCTTCCCTGGCAAGTGCAAGGGCCTGAGTTCAATCCCCGGTTCTATAAATAAATAAAATTAGTTTTTTTTTTATCTTGAGACAGGATCTCACTGAGTGACTAAATTGCCCAGGCTGGGCTCAAACTTGGGATCCTCCTGCGTTGGCCTCCCAAAGCATACCTTGTCTTTTTCATTTCACAGCTCACCTTAGAGGTGGCCGTGTCCCTACACCCACAGCCTCCCCTTGGTCCTCAGAATAAAAGGAAGGCTCTGGCCTGGTCCCCTGCCTCCCACCTTTCCTGTCCTCGTGCCCGAGGTCACTCAGATTCTTGTGTTCCCATGTTCTAGCTAGGGCAGCCCCTGGCCCACAGTAGGTAAGTGGGTAGTGGTAGCGCCCTCTGGTGGCGACGCTCCACTCATGGCGTGGCGCCAGGCCGTGCGCCTTCCGCTTGCAGGCGCCCCCTCCCGGCTCCGCGAGACTCCCGCGCTAGAGCAGAGCCGGCTGCAGCGGGGTTAGCGGACCATTAGTCCCAGGAGCAGGCCCAGGTTGGATGCTACAAAGCTGTTGCCTATCTTTACCTCCCTTCAACATCAGAAGCTCTGCAAAACAGCACGATATGGTTGCGACTCACATTTGATTAAAATGTCTCAGAAATACTTCTTGTTCCAGTGGGCCGGCCGGACAGTGGACTAAAGCGCCTGCTTAGACAGAGCGCAGGGCCGGGGCCGGGGTACGATCCCCCGACGTGCCATGACGACCCCGCCCCCGGGGCACGCTGAGACAGTGATTGAGACTGGGCATGGTGGCGTGCGCCTGTAATCCCAGTGTTTGGGAGGCTGAAAACAGAAGAATCACTACTAGTCCGATCTACATAGTGAGACCCTGAACACCCTGTAGACCCCGTACCAAATACATGAAAAGAAAATCTTGCTCCAACAATAAAGAGGGCAGGAAGGCTTTGAACGAAGGGTTTATCACGGTTGATACCAGAACAGCCTGTCAAAAGTTCAGTATTGTGTTGCTGATGCTGCAGTAATCAACTGAAACATTTAAAAATCGCAAACATGTGTTGGCAGTCCCAAGTTTTTGCACTCAAATGCATTCCCTGTCATCACCATTGTTATTATGGTTATTTGAGACAGGACAGGGTCTCACAGTGTAGGCCAGGCTGGCCTCAAATTCTGCCATTCTCCTGCCTCAGCAGACTCAACTATACCAGTAGTGCCAGGATTATAGGCACACACCACAACACCTGGCTTTTAGAAACTATTTTGAGCCCAATTCTCCTTATAATGCTCAATTGTCCAGGCTGGGCCTGACCTCGGGACTCTCCTGCCTCAGCCTCCTAGAATGCTAAGATGACAAGCATGTGCTACCACACCTGGCTTGGGGTTCTATAAGGAGGCCAACCACGCTCAGGAGAGCTCAACCGTCATGATTTAATCACTTCCCAGTGACCCCACTTCCCAAGGTCAGAACATGATTAGATTTCAACTTTTTTTTTTTTGGTGTTTTTGAGACAGTCTTTTGAACTCACAATCCTCTCGCCACCTGTAATGCTAGGGTTCCAGGCTCTTCCCATTACACTCAGCTCAACTG